GCTGGGAAGAGATGCTGGCTGTCCGATTGGCCTCCCTGCTGCTGCGGAGCCTGGGGCGGTCTGCTTGCCTCCACCCCGGAGGGAAGGGTAACATCTCGTGGGTCTGGGTGCCGTTTCCCATTAGATTACACACAGCTGCACTCTATTAAGTCATTAGCACTCATCAGGCAATGTCTAAAGGCAACTGACTGCAATCAGACCAAAGGGGGCTGAATAATTACGCACACCCCACTTTTCAGTTACTTATTTGTAAAAAATGTTTGGAATCATGTATGATTTTCGTTCCACTTCTCACGTGTACACCACTTTGTATTGGTCTTTCACATGGAATTCCAATAAAATTGATTCATGTTTGTGGCTGTAATGTGACAAAATGTGGAAAGGTTCAAGGGGGCCGAATACTTTTGCAAGCCACTCTACTTGTGTCTCCAAGCTTTAGTGTCCATCCAATATCATCTTAAAAATAGCATGAAATAGCCAAATGACCAGAGCAAAATCTGTTGAATTTTTTGTAGGCTTTTGGTAAATGTACCCTCGGACACTGTGTTTGTCTGTGGAAAGTCCTCTCCTCACTCAGATCTGAAAACATGCTGCGTCTCAAAAGGGTAAGTTTGGCTTTTGCAGGAAAATCTTTTTCAAACAGCATTTTAAATGTTTTTTGTGGTCAGAAAAGCTCTATTTATATGCCAGTCCAACTTTCTTTGAAAAGAACCCCTTTTCAGAATATCCACCTGAGTACCAGATGCCACTGAGTGAGGAAAACAAGGCTGAGCTGAAAAAAATTATTTCTAGAGGAAATGTGGACCAGTGGCTGATTGAGATCCATGAAGTTCTTTTGTTGGGTCTGGGCTGCCTACGGGCCACTGAGGATTGGAATCCATCCTGGAGGTAAATTTATTGGATATCATCAAATGTCTTTGGTAATACAGTACCCCTTGGTCCTGATGTATTCTGTGTGAAGACGGTAAAGTTGCATCTTAAACATCACAATAAGTACAGATGATGCTGTATAGTCAAAATTGGGAGCTCTATTCTAGATCTCAGAGATGCAAAACGCATCTTGTATTTGCCTTGTGCAGCTCAGAATCAGTGAAGTTTCCCATTGTTCAGTCTTTCTGTCTACACCAAAAATGTAGATCTGTTTCTTCAAGTTGGAAAGTCATTTGCTTCAAGTGGAAGAGAGAAATCAGTCTGTTGAAATACATCTGTTTTCTTCTTGACAGCTTGAAGCAGGCTGTTAGTGTGTACATGAGACATAAAGACGTTCCACCTTACATGAAGGAAGACTTCCCTGAAAATCTGCAGCTGTCCCAGATAGTAGAGACATGGAAATACGCTATAACAGCAAAACAGGAGTGGATGATGGAGGGATGAACTGGGTGAGAGTTTAGCTAATAAAGATTACATATATTATATATTCTGTGTGACTACATTGTACATTTACGGATTGTTCTTATATTTCTTGTTGAATTTTTTGATAAATTCTATTGAACAGCAGCAAAAATTGGTCAAACAAACAAACAAACAAAAGCTTTGCATATGACATTTAATTTTTCTTACATTTTATCTCACATATTTCTTTCTCTTAAATTTTAAAGTGCTTTGAATGTTCACCTCCATCCATTTTTTACCTAATTTTATTTCTATTCCATTTATTATTGTGTGCTACATATGCTTGACAGATTATGAATAGCCTTTAGGCTTAGTGAGAACAATCATATGCAGGAAAGGTAGATTAAACTGGATTCCACCATGCCTTGATAACGTGTTGCAGTTTAATCAGTGTGAAACATATAATTGCTAAGTCTTATTTAGTAGAAAAACGTGGGACCTACCCCAAAATGTTCAACTTTGACGATGATATACTATGTGTAATTTTTTTTTGCTTTGGGTCTTGTTTTTGCTATCATTGCTAATATTACTGTTACAATAAACTTCCAATCAATCCATTCAAATTAATCTAATATTAATATTATTTTGCTGGCATTTTTAAAATCTATTTTACAGTGAAAAAAGGAAAACATTTAATTCTAATGAATATGAATTGTTCTATTATAAACACGTGAACAATATGAAAATCCACATGTTATGCTGAACTTTGAATTACACAATTTTTTTAAAACTCCTTTGCATTAATGAGAAGGTTAAGATTTGACTAGCCACTATTAGTTTTTATATTTTGATATTTGAAGGTTTGATTCATATCTTTTTTGTGTTTGTTGAGATAAATGACCCCAAAAAACATGGAGTATATAATGCCATGCTGGCTGATGGAGAAATACACTGCAAGGGTTTAGTTATTTTAATGGAGCATTTTATTTTTAATTTCACATTTTAAAAACTGATGGAGAATTTTACATTTTTGTTTTGTATTCATTTAATTTTTCATTTATCTGTTGACTGGAAAATCTCAGGATGTAGCGACAAAAATATTGACTTTAACAAACATTTACTACGTTACTTTTTTTGGTATGTTCAAATTTTTTTATTTAATTTTTTTTTACATTACTTTCCTATTAAAGGGTAAAACCTGGTCATTGTGTTAATGAACCTGCATGATGCTGGGATAAACTAGCGAGGAAGTATTGTTTTTTTTTATTATTATTACTATTATTAATATTAAAAATGTTCTCATATATTATTTTTACATTTTAAAGTCCATTGTGTTTATTCGCATTAATGTTAGACTCAGTACTTTATTTTATTTGACCTGTTTTGGAAAAATTAAAAACAAAAACAAAACAAATGAACATTTAGGCTCAGCAGCAACAGCTGACACACAGGAAAGGCAGGCAAAATTCAAGTGCACCATGTCTTCAACATGAGCTGTCTGCTCATTTATTTCATTTTAACAATATAAAACCTTATTTAGAAAATTAGGAATGTATGAGACTCTAATAATATATTCTGTGAGTTTTGAATTATCATATATTTTATGGTAAAGATTTATAAATTCTTTATTTAGTCTGTTTTATTCTCAATAAATTTCTCGTTACTGATCACACAATGAACTGCTATAGGTGAACATTCTATTGCTTTTTTATTTAATTTTTTTCTTTGAAGAAGTTGAATTGTTAAAAAGTGAGTAATCTTCATTAATATTCACTATGTATCTGCTAAGAGATAAAACTGATCATTAAATGTTGTAATGTTTTGTGTTAAGAAATCAATAAATCAATTTATGCATGCATGTGTAGCCTGAAATTTATTATGTGTACTGCACTTGTGAATATATTGTTGAAATATTTTATTTGGTGGCCCTGTCTTTAAAAGGGTAACAGCTTAGCTTTTGTTGATTGCCTTAGATTATCTGGGTATTTTATGATTAATTTGTGCATAATATCATCCTTGTATTATATCAGCTTTAGTGTGTGTGTGTGTGTGTGTGTGTGTGTGTGTGTGTGTGTGTGTGTGTGTTTTTACTTTAAACACACAGGAACGAAAAAAATACTTTTTGTTGTATTTCTTCTTTCTTCTTCCACTAACTTTTCAGCTTTTGTCTTTTACACTCTATATATACTAGATATACAGATAGATATTTTAAGACAGGGTTGGAATTGTAATCTGGCATACCATGATGCACTGGCTGTACAAGCACTGGTGGCAGCCCATTTATTCAGTTTCATTTCATTACATATCATTTTCATGACAGTGTATTGCCCAGTCAAATCTCTTAATGTAACCATACTTTTGCTGTGCACTCATGTGGCTTGTAGAAAAAAGGTTTACTGATCACACAATGGAAAAAGGGGTAAACCTGAAAGAAAACAATAATAAGAAACTAATGACAGATCTCCATTCCCACTGGTCTGCCAGCTTGCTCCACCAGCTGTCTGCTGTCCAGTAAGGTGAGGCTTACTCCCAGCATAACATTTTCAAAACCACTGGCTTTCGCCACTCAGTGGAAGTTAATCATGGAATATAATTAACTGAGATGATACCTAACTGGTTTATTTCAGTGTTTACCTGAGCAAATTTGTTTGGCTAAGATTGAAGTTAGGTTTATCACTGGATACTTTTATTTAACTTTGTTTTTGAACTTATCTCACTGGAGTGCTGTCAGTATATTTGAAATAATTATTTAATTATTGTATGTTGCATGTGGGGCTCCTGATGCTCAGATTAAATGGTTGTTGTTGTTGTTGTTGTTGTTTTTTAACTTTTATTCAGCTCTATTCTAAAAACCAGCTGTCTGTAAGTTTTGTCAGTCTACCTGAATAAAAATTTAAATTATTCTAACATCTGACCTGTTTGTTTTTGTTCAATAAGCAGCACTTCAGAAAAATGCTTAGGAGCTCTGATTTCTTCAACTACAATAAAACTTGCTTTAGTGCTGCAACATTTGGTACTAAAGCTCTGGCTATCATAATCTGCTGAGATTGCAAACTACATTTTAATTCTTGGGCCTTCTGTTTATTTTCTTGATGCCTAAGATTAGCATACTTGGATCTATGCTTGTAAAACTAAAGGTTTCAAGGTGCTGGCATGAACTGTATTCCCCAAGCACCAGCATGGGCTCATAGCAAAGAAGACATACCAGCATGTTTCCCTGTAGCACAAATAAGCATTTGCATTTGTCTTAAATTGCTTTTCCAATGCCTCAACATTTTGGTGTTGCTGATATTCCTTTTTCTTTTTGAAACTCAATGACTTGACTAAAAACTATAGAAGCTATTGTTTCTGCCACTGGGGGAAAAAAACAAAAAAACAAAAAAACATTTTCCTGATTGGAAGAGAGCCAATTTCAGGTTAGTATCTCAAAAGTTATTTGACTTATTTTCTCAGACGTTTGAGTTAGTAAGTTGACATCTTGAGATACTAAAATCAAAGCGTTGAGACACTGACCTGAAATTTTGGCTTCTGGATGGCAAGATTTTCTCCTTTGTCTTTTTTTTTTTTTCTCAAATTCAGAGGTGGAAACAAGCTTCCACAGAAAACCGCTCTAAAACGCACTGCTGTTGAAATACTGCCATCGGGAGGCGGATGCTGTCATTACGTAGTTTTGCACACAAATTATGGTAATTTTATTGCTTTTAACTTCCTGTGGGCCACATAAAATAATTTGGCAGGTGGGATTTACCTTGTATTTGGGTGGGTTGTAAGGTGTAGAATATCTGAAAAGGAGTGAGTTGGCAATTCCTGTGTTATTAGCAGGCAGCACTTAGACACTTAGGCACGCTGTTAACTTACATGGACCCCTACAAACTTTTTGTTACTACACTGAATGTGTCAAACAAGAAAGCTACGTTTTCTTCTTGCTATGCATATTATTTTAATAATGCATATGGTGTTGTTTAAATAACTTTAACTTAAGTCTAACTCTACAATCTTGTGGACTGGGTTTGTTTTTATTTATTTATTTATTTATTTTAATTTTTTTGTCATATCTGATAAAAATATTACCCCAAAAATATTTTGGGGGTATGACTGAAAAAAGTGTCAAGACAGATCTTTTGAGTCTGTGTAATTTTATCTGTCGATTGCATGATTTGAAAAACAGCCACACCTTTTACTGTAAATGAAAATGAAAGTAAATATGGGAACGGTTAATAAGCTATATTCTTTAGCACCAATGCTCACACAGAGCTGACTGCTGACAATGTAAGGAAGAAGAACAAACACGGTAGGACATCTAACAACTATCCTTACAGATAATAATAATGCATTGGGACATGCCCGAGGTTTAAGTATTGTGTCTGTAATACTAAATATTATCAGACGTGTTTTATTCGTCTTTTATTACAATAGAAATTGGTAATCTGTAACAGCATTTGACCTAACTGTATACTTCCTTCTTAACTTCTGCATATCCCTAATCACCATGTCCTGTATTGTAATTTAAAGATAAAAAGACAAACATTATGAATCTAAATAAGTCTTTTTAACCATTAAATGCTACTACATAATACAAGATGGCCTAAATTAATTTAATAAAATACATAAAATAAAACATTGTACAAGATTTGTTTTTTTAAATGCAGCTATAATTTTTTTTATAAAGCAATTTCTAATTTCTTTTGCAAAGAGAAAAGTCTGGATCAAGCTTTGAGTATAAGAAAGGCAAGTTAAAATTATGAATCTGCCCCACCATTACTGTAAATGAAAGTGAAAATAACTCTGTGACCCCAGTAAGCTATATAAAGTCTATTGTTGATAACAAAACACATCTCTTACTACTCAGGCTTTTACAATAGTACTCAAAAGTATACCTTCAACTATGACTTCAACAAATAATATGTAACACATTTCCAATGCTTTCACTAAAACCTGAACGTTATAAGATTTGCAAATGTGTGTAACCTTTTGTGTTTTGTTCTCTTTATTTTTCATCATCATTGTAAGTACACCACAGTGTTTGTTACTGTGTTTGAAGA